AAAGACTATAAAAAGCAAAAGGCTGTTATGGACCAGTATTAAGCCCATATCAGACTATGCATTGAGATTGAAATTTGACAAATCAGAATAAAGAAATTTTAGTCCTTTTTGTTCTGATTAGTTAAATTCCAATCTTTAATCTTCAATCTTCAATTTTCAATGCGTAGTCTGATACGGGCTTTAGACCATATTTATCTTTCTCTTTCCGATGTGGAGAGTTTAGCTATAAAGAACAGACCCAATCATGGCTACCAAGATATACCCAAATAAGTGAGGGATTTTAGAAAGTCACTAGATTTTTGTCACACGGTAATTGAGCGTTGAGCAGACACAGAGCAGAGATTTACATCGGATAATACCAAAGAATGGCCGATCCAACATTACAAACTTTTTGTTGTCATTATACAAACCGAACAGACAAGGCTATAGCGATAATGCAAGAATTTAATACTGATGCGTACAATACGGTGTGCATGATATCATCGACAATGGGTATGATAGGTGCGATTTATCAGGTAAATTTATAGGAACTGTAAGAGAAGTTACACATTTCACCGGTTTTTATTTTATAAAATTTTTACACTAATTATAATATTACAGTATTATTACCATTATAAAGAATAAATATTTAAAATATGTTATTTTTTATCACGTACAGAATTAAAATCATTCTTTAATTATAAATAAGATATATATTTAATATAAAAAATATTAGATAATATATATAATATATATATATATATATATATATAGAGAGAGAGAGACAGAGAGAGAGAGAGAGAGAGAGAGAGAGAGAGAGAACGAGAACATTATTTATACTTTATAATATTATGGAATTGAAACAAATTTATACGCATAAGAAATACCCCTGCCTCCTTTCTAATAAATATTTACAATTATGGGGAGGCTTCAAAGTCGAAAAAAAATTTTTTGCAGATATTACCTCGGGAAGATTTGAATATTTCTCAACGATGGAGAAGCTTTTCTAGAGGGCGAGATATTATTGTATGGCTTGCTGTTGCTGATCTCTTAGCATCTTTAGGTCTAGTTTGTTATCGCAATTTGATTATGCCAATAACTTAGTATATTATATGAATTTCTACAAATTAATCACAATTTCATTTACTTAATTTTGGTCGGTGAATACATGACAACAATATTGATAGATATACAATAATATACAAGTATGTTTTATTTAATTGTTCCATACTTGATTAGGTGTGTTTGTAAGGTCGGCATTGTGGAGGAATTTCAAGTCTATCATGCCAATGGAAGGCGATATGTCGAGTGTTATTTTTTGCGCTTTGTCGTCGGTAACGTTGATATTTTTACATCAGATACAAATACATGCAGAACTTTGCGAAGAGATTGTTGTTTGTAGGCGTGGACTCAATATTTCTATATGGCTACATGGATATGGACATTGTGTTATGCAGTAGACATGAAGTTATTATTAGGCGATAAAAACGGCTATTCTATATATTATCATACTTTAGCCTGGGTGCTTCCAGCCATTCTTACCTCATTTGGACTGATCATCTTATATATTCCAGATGCAAAGTTAGACTTTTACAAGTATCACAATTATCTTTGCATACACATTTTGTGATGATACTAAGTACAAGATTATCTTACAGTTGTCACAATTTGACATCATTATCCAGTGCCATATTGCGTATTCTTCCAAACTACTGTGCTACATATGTATTATTGGCAGTAGTCATGATCGCAAATCCTATTTTGTATATTGCATCAACTCGAGATCTTGAAACGGCAGTTTTACATAGCATGGCTCAAATGACTGGAAGGGAACGAAGATTGATACAAACAGTTAGATTAAAATTTGCTCTCATCAATTTGGTCTACTATGTATGCTGGACGCCCAATTTAATTAATGGGATATTATTGTGGACTCTATGGTTTAAGTTGCCGATTACGGCAATTATCACTTTGTGGTATATAATGGTATGTTTAGGTAATTCTTACTTAAAATATATGTGTATGCTGCAGCTTAGACAAGTGATCAAGACATCTTTAATTGACAGGCTGTGACAAATCCTCTTCAAGCGTTCTTTAATGCGATTGTTTATCAATCATGGAATAGAAGAGAAAAATTGCGTCTTGAATGTTGTCAAGATTTCAAATCGAGTACCAATATACATTTAAATGCGATCGAGAAAAGAAATAGTAGTGGTCATTTTTCTGAATCATCTCCACTATTGAATCCAAGAAGAGAATACAGACAGAATATACCACATATCAGCATAAACGGATCTTCGTCTCTGTGAGAATTTTTTACTGCCAGTCTTAGAAATGTAAATATTATATATACTATCCTATTTTTAAAGAGAATAATTTTAATATATAAAATGATTAAAAGATTTACATATCATAAAGTCAGACTCAATGTGCATGAAACTTTCGAAATCTCAGAAAATTGAAGTCTCGACAAGTGCAATAAAATTTTTTGAAAAATTTTGTGATATAAAAATAATTGTAGAGTAAAAAAAAATATTTTTTAATATTTTTAATATTATAGAGTATAAAAATATAATTTATATATATATATATATATATATATATATATATATATATATTACATGTGATGTAACAAACAAAAAAAAGTGTATATAATTTAGTAATATTTAATTATTCTCTATAGAGATAATAGAGTTCTTTTAAAATGGTGAAACAGGAATATAAGAATTGAAAAGAGATAATTCATATAATGTACAAATTATTTAAAAGAGAAATCAAGTTTTTGATGCATCTGCATATATAATGAATTGTTCATTATTTTTCATAAATAAAGCGCCAGTAATATATTTTTATGATATGCATTTTTGTAATGGTATCATAAATAAAAAGATATAACAAAATATAAATAGAGTATATATATATATAATAGGGATCTCATTATTTAATAACATTTTGTACTTAAATATTATGTTATATACTAAATACAGTGTTAAAATATATCTTTTTCTATATCATAATATCACGATCAACGGCGGCCACACATGTATCATTGTATATACAAATATATCATTATTATGTTTTAACACAAATATATCATTGTATAAATTAGCAATGAAAAAAAAATACAAATCTTATATTTTAAAAATTTGTCAATTTCTACATTAGTCATTAGAAGCGAGAACATTAATGTGCAAACGATATTACTAAATCATATATACAAGTACAAAATAATTAAAAATAAGAATTAATAAAATTTTTAGAATAGAATCAAAGAGATTAGAAAATGAATAACTTAAATTATTTCATGAGATATGTATAAATTTTAACATTTCTTGAGATTATTTCATCAAACAATAAATAATTCTTTTTTTCACAAAAAAAGTTATTTTGATAGACAGAAATGACAGAAAAGAAAATTTGGAATGATGAAGAAATTGTATATATATCAAATTATTGTTCTCTGCTTATTGAGTATTTTATAACAAATTAAAAAATAGGAAAATTCTCTCTCTCTTAATAGCCATGAAAAATATTAGAAATTATGCTGCTTACATCTTCCTAAATTTTTTTTATAGAAACAAATTGTATGTATATATATTTCACTTGTAATAAAGTTATTTACATTAATAATAAATTCAAGTGAAATCATCGATTGTTTAATTTATTTTTTACTGATTATAAAATATATTTGGCAACAAATCTTGAAATATAAAAGTATAAAACAAAGACATAGGAGACATTTCTCTCCACAATACTATCTGTACTTTCTTTTTAAAATATGTTGTATGTTAAAAAATTGATTAATTAAAAACATTTATTTATATTGATCATTTGTTTGGCACTTTGGCAAAATTTGCAGCATTATTTCACTAATATTTAAAACAAAGAGAACATACCTATACATAATACAAAATATTTTATACTTAAGGAAAACTTAAGATCTTAAAATTGTCATGTCAAATTTGCACCATCAAGAGGGAAGATTCGAAGCTCCAAGTGTCAAAGATGTGATTTCACGAACGATCATCTCAGCAATTTTCCATGCTAAATCTTCTTTAGCCTATAAAAAATTAATTATTAAATTATAATACAATATATGAATAAAATAATTATGTATTGCTTTCAGCATGCGAATTATTTTAATATTAAAAAATACAAGTATTATAAAATAATTACCTTATCTTGTTCTATATTTACAAATCGTTTTACGACACGAGTTAGACGAGATTCTGAAATTTACATATTTGATTTTATACAATCTCATATATGTATTAATTGAATCTTTTAAATATATATATTATTTACCATATTTTCTATAAGGATCTGGCTCTATTTCGGTAATAAATCTGCCTAAGTTGTCAACGTAACCAATGTTTAAACTGAAAAATATATTAAATTATTTTATATGGATTATATAAATTAGAGTTGATATAAAAATGTATGTATTTGTATTTATTAATCCTTGCCTTTCGGCTTAGGATGGCTTCCAGTTTACATTCGATTCCTATTTCTAAATTCTTTGTTCTTTGCATTATTATAAAAATGTATGTATTAAAATACCTATATTTATTGCGCCGCCATAAGGAATCTGGATCATAAAGTTGCCTGGTGTCAATATTCAGGTTATTCTTAATGTTTTTTTTATTATTAGGTAATCTACTGCCATTGCTTCCTATTTGAGAAGTGCTTGGCATACTAGTGCATATAGAGCTCACTTCACTACTACAATCTGAACCTGTAGATATGTTGAAAATATATAAAATCTTATTTATTTGTTATATGAAAATATTATTACTTATTAAACGAAATGATATCTTTATAACATTTTACAAGAATATTATGTTATTGAAATCATCAATTGATATCAACCTGTTCTCCTTATCTTGAAATGTAAACTCGGACACGGGCTGCTCTGAATTGTGCTGATTAGCTCCGATAAGTATTTATAATACAGTTGTGAAGATAAGAACGCCGGGAGATAATGCTAAAAAAAAATGTAACGCAATACATGGCTTTTCAGTTGATTACTTTTGATGCAAGAACTTATATAACAAGTATTACTGTGTAATAAGAGCAAGTTTGTGTAGTGTGTGGTGTACCTTGTTGAGAAAATTATACACAATTTTATTGGGTTTATCGAAACAATCGGGCTGTGTGCCCTCCTCGCCTTCGCGACAAATGTTCTGTTCTACAAGAAAGCGAATTTTATCGCTAAATCCGAGGGGCATAGTTGCTTGTAAGCTAAAATACCTACAAAAAAAACAGTAATATTTATAAAAATTCTTTTGTTCTCTCTTTTAAGTGTTTTATATATATAGTCTTAGATGTATTTTCTATACATAGCTTTAGAAATTACTTCTCATAAATAATAACGGCATCAGACTGTGCTTCTTCGGGATCGGCTGCACCTTTCTTCTCCAAGAGATTCTGTTTGTAACTTATAGCTGACATCCAAAAATCCAGCAGTTCTCGCTTATTTTCAAGTTCCATAAACTAAAATGAAAAGAATGAAAATATCTCTAACCAAAACTTCTGTCACAAAAATAATAATTGATAGAAAAATGTAAACCTCCATGAAGTAAAAGAATGCTGTCTCATTATACAATATATCTGCTAACTGTACATCGCCACTGGTGAGCACATCAATTTGATGTTTACAATGAAATTGACTTCGTAAAAAATCGTTTATATACCTGCAAAATAAAATTTTTTAGATGCATAAGTTACTTATTTACATAGCATATATTAATGAATGTATGTCTCACTTACTCTTTCTCTAGTATATCATATACTATGCTTTGAACAGCAGATAGGCACTGTAATATAGGCTCATTGTTTTCCTGCATGACAGCTTTGTCCATCTCTAACTTTAATTCTTCAGATATTTGACTTATACCCAGAGCTTCTTTGAGAATATATTTCTTGTAAATTCTCAAAGCATCCTGTCTAGTTGTTGTCATGTCGTGTCTCTTACTGCCACAATCTTCATTTGATTGTTGTGCTTTACTTATCGTGTGACTAGTCTTTGGCATACCATTTAATAAGGATGTTACATTATCGCTATTCTCATCAAATGGTACTTTGCTGCATGTTTGAGTATCTACATTATTAGGGAGTACATTACAACTAAAGTTTTCGTTATCATCTAAGGAATTAGGCAAAGTTTCTAATAAATCCTTTTGATTTGAGTGTCTAGCTTTTTCTGTATCTTCACTGGATATGCTAGATGCACTGCACAAGCATTCCACCTCTAGCCAGAACTTTATGAGAGCTACATGCCTTCTGGTGTCCATAAACTGAATGAAATAACCAAGGGCACTCTTGTCCATAAGTACTTCCGGTAGAGTTTTAGACAACCGAGAGCTGAAGGTATATGTTTCTTTACAATCATTATTGAGAATTTCTTCCTCCTCTTCTTCCTCGAGATTGCATAATATACCCGAGGGTGTTTGAATGGACGATGCACTACTGTTGAATGCATCTGTCGGAAAGTTTCCCGAACTCGTCGATTTTGTAGGTGAAGTTTCTAACAATCCCAGCTTATCCCTTTGTCCTGCAAGCATTGCATGCAACTTTATTATAATAGAGAAGATAGAAGTTAATTATGTAGATAAAAGAATATATATTGTTACAAATAATCATTTTTTCGCATATAAATATCTAAGATATTTGTATATAGATAATTTAATTAATTTCTGACTTTAAATATACAAACAGTAGTTATATACAACATATTACATAAAGTAAACAAAGTTTGAACTTGACGACATGAAATGCGATTGATTGAGGCAATTTTTCAAGTTCTATTTTCAATTTCAATGGAAATAGGATATTGGAAAAAAGAGAGTGGAAAAAGAAGAGAAGAAATACCGCGTGCTGTAAATGTCAAAGGGTCAGATATGGGAAACAACAAGGTTATACAGTGTTAAATAGAAAAGTGATTTCTTTCCTGCCGCGTATGTAATTCCGCTCGATGTAAATTAAGGGACAAACGCGTGTAATTACCAAACTTCTTAAAAAAATGGAGCATCGTTCGTGTCAGCGCGTAACATGATAAGAGTCGCCGATGACGTACGGGTCACGAAAACAATAACTACGATTACGAACGTATCCTACAGAAGATGAATGGAACACATCGGTTTCGCCGAAATGTCAAACTGTGCCGCGCGATCGGGATCGCAATCCAGCTGACAGATTGAATTTCGTGTCGATTCAGCCGACAATGATAATGAATCACACCCCGGTTACGCGCAAACGCGGCGATGCGCGACATTTCGCGTTGGCGTCATTACGGGCATAAGTGACAGATTACTGTGTGTTGTTTGCATCGTCGATTACGACAGATTGCGGGTGCAGGTGCAGTAAGAGCGCATCGCAGAAAATCCGAATCTTCGAGAAAGCACTATCGAGATATACTCGTAAGATTTACGGACGGAGAGATTCGGAGAGCTACGTTCAAACTAGAGAGATGCGTATTTTACATCTAAAAGCAACGTAAACATAGGCGCGCCTTCGGCGAGAGAAGGGCTAAGGGACCAAGAGGGTGTAGAAAGTGCATACGTCGCGAATGCAATTGCTAAATGCGCGCGTTTTCTATATGCTTTCGAAATACGGACAGTTAATACAATATGGCGCTAGTATTATTGTCCATTATTGTCGAGGTAACATATATATGACATTTTACTATATATATACATACTCAATTTTATTTACGAGTATCTGAAAAAAATTAATTATACTTGTTCAAAGATGTGGTTTTCTCTATATTTTTTACACCTATAATTATTTACACATTGTCTATATATATTTGACAATGTGTGTGTGTGTGTGTGTGTGTGTGTGTGTGTAATGAACGATATATGATCTGGAATTAACACAAAAGATCTCTCTTTGATCATTGTCGGATCTTCTTTCAATGAATCTTGCGATCGCTATCTGCAACCAATTACGAGAAGAGATTATGTTTTGTTTAAGGTAAATATTATGTACTTCATTTACATTTTTCATATATATTACAAAATAATCAATACATATTTCAATAAGCAATAAATTATAAAAGTTATAAAATAAAGATACCTAAAATAGCAATTTTATCTCGCAATTCTTTCGCGAAAATGTTTCTTTTTTTATATACTTTTTTCCATATAAACTTTTTTACTTTATTTACAGAAAGTATTGTACAGAAGTACAAGACATTCAGGATGAATTTTTCGAAATTACGCCAAGTGGACGATACCGAATAACCGTGCGATGTCGAGATCGAGCGCACACGTGCAAACATCTATGCACGACCAAAGTGGACGAGCGGATAAAAATATACGCGAGTCAGAGATTCGATTGCGAATGTACATACACTTCGAAGACCGGCTGTCAAGGTAGAACGCGTAGCGCGAGAGGGCAACGGCCGGGCATCGTACTTGAGAGATCGCGAAGCGAAGTGAAGGCTAAAAGGTGACGGAGACGAGAATAGGACGCTAGTCTTGCGAGCTGTCCACGTTTGTACCGGTTTGTCCACGCACGCCAGCATGCTTGGATCGTCACGTTCGAGACGAGTAAACCGGCTATCGGGCGATGTAGGTCCCCGCCGGAGAGGCCCCCCCGTGCGTTCGGAACGAGGACCGTAGCTTCCGCCGTTGGGCATTTTTCAGTCGTACCTCGTGAGGATCGATCGCGGTCGCGCCACGACGACGATCATGCAGCACGCCCTATGCAGCCTCCTCGTTATCGCGGCCTGTCGCGTTACCGCCGCAACACCCACGCCGATTAGAGCGGCGACTTACGACCAGAGGCAGACCGGCGACCTGAACGTGCAGGTAGCGCTCAAGGACCTGCGTGTAGTCGCGCTGCTCGACTCCAAACTCTTGGAAGATTATACGGTAAATGAAGCCTCTCCAAGAGGAAGTCACGCGAGCTCTTTTTTCCCCTCTTCTTCTATGGATGTTTATTTCTCTTAGGATGCAGTATCATTCTTTTATAAATTAAAAAAATATAAATTAAATTTTAAATTATGATATATATATATATACATATATATATATTGAAAAAAATATTTCTGCTATTGATATATTCTTATAGTTGAAATGGTCAAAACTTCTCTCTTTATAATCTTTAATCACGTCGTATACAATCTTTAATTGTAAGATTTATATTTAGAATATATATATATACTTATGTACTTCATGCTCAATAATTAAATGAATTGCTTTAAAGATTATTAATAAATATTAATCATCAACGTCTCGTTGTATTCACAGGATTATGATTACTTCTACGATTACGCAGACTTCACCATCAAGCCGGGCGGCAACAGGCCCACCTCAAGTCCCACCACGGAAAACAGCGATATTACAGAAGTTTCCGAGTCTCTTTCGTCGCCAAATTTGACTATCTCGACGTCTTCTGGTAATGTAAATTCAACTGAATACCGTAATACAACGTTACCGAATGACGAAGAAATCCCGAATGTTGATCCATCGAACGGTATCGCGAACTTGACATCAAATATGGATAACGATAAGAGCCAATCGAGTGAAGAGAACGGAGAGTCCAAAGCAGCAGTCGCTTCTTCGTCTATGATGAAATCTGCTGTACGATCACAAAAGCGTTGTAAATCCGGATATATTCCAAATGGCAACGGACGTTGTCGACGAGCACGTCGGCCGTGGTTGTCCTTGTTGCCGTGAGTACAATTGCAACAACAAATCTTCCAATCGATTGGATCTTTCTCCATTGATCGAATTTAAGTTGCATAATCGCTAGAAGTTAAGTTAAATAGAAAATAAATATCCATATCAAGTTTCAGTCATGTTTGCTTTTAATGATGAAATAAATTCTTTATATTTGTACTTTTGTAACGGTAATTATATTCCTGATATAAACTTCCTTTTATTTCATGGCTCTGTATTTTGAATTTCGATACTGGCAATGTGAATCCTAAAATACAATGCAAAAAACCTCCGTTCTTAAAATGCGATATATATAGTTAAAACAATTTTCAGGAGAAAACGCAACATCAATCTCGCATCGTAGAAGCTTGTAATTCTTCTTTCGATTATTTTGGCTCTCGACTTCTGCGGCTAATTGTTACGTATAAGAACAAATTCATTTAAACTTTAGAATATCTATATAATTACCTGCGCTATCTTCCCATCCGCTATCATATTGGACAAACAATCAATTTCAATCCCACGCCAATCTATATGTGATGTTTTAATCCAATAGCGAGATGGATCCCCCTATCATATAAATTCCACGTACCGGTTCGCGCGACGAGTCACAAGCACGGCGAACCCGCGCGATCGTCGCAGTTGCGAAAAGGATCCCGTTCGTTTCGCTCGTGTTGCCGAAGAGCAATACGGCGAAGATCGAACAGCGTCACTTACTTCAAAGTTCACCTCTCATCGCTCACGTATTTATCTATACCATACGTGCATATATATAACGTATATATACATATCACGATGGCGGTGATACAAATGTTATTCTTCCTCGGTACGGCGTTTTTCACGCTTGTCAAAGTTGACACTGCTCCGACGAAATATGATCAGCGACAGGAGGGCGATTTCAACTTGCACGCCCAACTGGATAATCTTCTCTTCGTCGTAGCCATCCCCAGCAACAATGATCTGCTCAGCGACCTGGCGTTGCAGGCTCTCGAGCTCAAGCAGCAATTGGTCTCCCGGTCAAGTTCGTCGAAGGAACAAGAATCAATCAGATCCGACAAAGAAAATCGTGGCATGGAGCCTTGGAAAGGAGCTGTGGAAATTATACAGATAAACGAAAATCATTCGAATAAAGGAAGTTCGGTGCAAAAAACAGAGGGAAAAAATAAAGAAACGACGAACGTTTCGAATCAGCAGACAATCTTTTCGCTCGCTACCGAGCAGCAACAAGATAAAGTGGAAAAGGACGACAGGATCGCGAAAAATGTGAAAGCTTTCGATTTTCCCAAGAGTCGCGAGGAACCGGCTATTATAGGATACTTCGTGGACGCGAGAAAAATACTTGGATCCAAGATTGAGGATGATGGACGGGCGCGAAATGTAGTTGAGAATGTTTGGAATTCCGACATCGAATCAGGAAGGCCGGGGACGGCGTTGAAGAAACAATTGCTTCGCAGAGAAGAGAATGTCGCGCTGCCCTCATCGAACGCTGATAAGAACGACGTGGCTTCATTATCTGAGGATAAACAACAGAATGAGCTAATATTGTTAGGCGGCGGTATCGAGAACTGCGGTCCAGGAAGACATCGCGACGTATCCGGCATCTGCCAGTTTGACGAGTCGACCAGGGCTTTTTAGCAGCTTCAAGTTCCAATAATTATAGTTTTTAAACATTGAGATACGCTACTTAATATCGTGATTATCTCTCTTGGTGCAATATTTCATTTTCCTCTTTTTGTCTTTCTAGCAAATGTTATACCAGATCTATTATATATTATATCGATCTCAAAAAGTTCGTTATTTTTTTTGTTTATTAGTGCAAAAGTCATGTCGAAGAAAAGCAACGAATTTTTTGATTAATTAAATGCTTAGAACGGGCTAAAATGCGAAATGGTTGTTGTTTTATATAAACCAATGTATGCGCGAAAGTTACACTATATGTATCTATCAAGCTTCAAATAAAATATTTAAACAACAATAACAACGTGAACATGCATTTAAATATGAATGGAAATCATACAAGCGATTCTCATTAATTTTATTGAATTTTTAAATTCTCTTCCGAATCACTAATTTCTTAAAAAACAATAAATGCTAAATAATTCCTATCTTTTCCTATTTACTTTTTTTGTTCTTTATATTTTTTTAAGCTGTAATGTATAAGTATCGAATGGATTCTTACTCTGAGGATTCTTAAAACATGATCCTACTAATTAAGGATAATCAAAGATATATACGATACAATCCCATGAAAATTTCCGAAAACGAAGATCGTTTCCAAAAGCGGTGGCAATTCTGCGACGACATTGATTCTTAGCACAAGGCGGAAGAGAAAGAGAGAGCAAGGGCAAGGTTACGGTAATAGGCGCCAAGAATCGCGGGATGGGGAAATGAACTCATGGCGAACGGCCACGATAGGACATTGCCCTTTACAAAGATCGGTTGCTATAGATGCGCATACTCCTGTATACTTATAGATATATATATCTGCACGTTGTATCGTCGTGCCATAACTATTACGCTTTATCTTTGGCGTCATCTCGCGTTCTTTCTCTTGCTCCTTTTTCTCTTGAATGAAACCGGTTACTGCCACAAGCGACACTTGATACATCGTTGATGAGGATCAGCTTCAGCACTTCCGCGTTTCAATCCTCAAATATTGTTATTTTATTATATTGATATTATCAAATTTCTTTCTTCTCTTTTCGATGATGGTTTTGAATAACTGCAATAAAGACAGGAGAATCTCTTGATTGATGAAATTGTTACAGGTCCCACATATCTTCTTGAGACCATATATATATTTAACTCGCCGTAAAATGAATAGTTCCTGAGCGACTGAAAATAAAAATGATGATTTTGTTAGTTTTATTTTCCAATATCAAGTAAGCTTATAATAATTTTTTAAAAATATATCCTCGACTTTTTACGAGAATTTACTAATAATTGAATTACGAATAAGGATGATGAAGTACGAATCTAATCACATTCGAGCTTCGGAAACTTCCCTCAAATTTTCACGTAAATTGCAAGTGGTTTACGGCATATCAACAGTGCTGTGACGAGACACATGCCGTTAGCAGCAGGTCGCTGTCAGCTCCGCCGAGGTTCTTGAACTTTTCCAGGGATCCGTTTCCAGAACCGACCGAAGGAAGGCTGTTCGAATCGCCCAGGTGGGGATCGGAATCGTCTTCTGGTACGAGACATCGCCCGGTCGTCACATCTCGGGCATCCTCCGTATTGTCCGGACACGTCGTTCTCCAACGTTATTTCGCTCGCTTTCGTTACATCTCCAGAGATACCCGGTCCTATCCAATCGCATTATAAAAGTTGCAAAAAGTGGTCGGCTGGTCTCGAGTTCACGTTCGTTGAGCCGGAGATAACTTGGCGAATTCGGCGATCCAAGAGAGAATACCTTGATTTTCTGGACTTGTCCAGGTTCTCACAATCAAAGTTGAACAGAAAACAATTTTTTAATTTAATAAAATCGGGAGGAGTTTGGAAACAGAAGACCAATGTTATCGATCAACATGCGTATATTCAAGACTGTGTTACTCATCGCTTCCTTTGGAACGAGCGTTCGGTGTTTACCCGTCACCGAGGAGTCGCCCAAAGCTGAAGTCTCCTCCTCGGTGATTCCGCAGGAGACAACGACGGCCGCGTCGATTTCCGATACCACCGATTACTATGATCAGCGACAGAACGGAACCGAGAACTATCGTATCCACGTAGACGGTGTGGTATTCGTATTTGCACCGGTCGAGGCACTACTACTCATGGCTGGCGGGACCGATTCTAATTTACCGATTTCCAACCACAGTGAATCTGCAATTCAGTCTATTGGCGACAGACCCAATGCCGATGGCATCCACAATAAAACCGAATCAGCGATCTCGAAAACAATACATAAGTAAGAGTTTGAGATTTCAGTTACTTTTTATATTCTTTTAAAAATAATGTTAATAGTTATTTTAATTATAATCATTAATGTTAATATCTTATTGTAACTAATATTAAAACATACAGTTTTAATTTTTTAATTATAAAAATAATTTAACTTGTTATGACGATACCACACACTTTTTGATTCCAGATCAGCTTTACGATTGACGAATCTCTTGGCGCCCTTAATACATCGCATACATCACGAACGAGGCATAAACGTGCATTAAAACAGCTCTTCAATACTCGCTTCAATATGCAATAGTGTTCCGTATAAAACATATATTAGAAAAATGTTATTTTTCTCTCTTTCCTCTTGATATTTTACAGGTTTTCTCTCCCCACATTTAACTCTATAATTATTTAAAATACAATTTTTAAAAAATCATGATAAAAGCATGATAAGGATAGGATATCTGCATCTACAGGGATAATAAACGAATACTCGTATAAAATATAATGTATATGATTGACGATGGATTTGATATGAACTATGCATTTATGTAGTACCTATTATCAATAAAGAAATGCACTGATTACCTAGTTTATGAACTCGACATTATTCATATAATGTAAAGCAATAGATTCAGTATCCACATATGTATTTAGATGTGATGTTCAACTTTGATGTTATGTTCTTATTTTGAGATAATGGAATTGCAATAAAATTGTTAATCAATCGTTAATAAATTAAACGGATATATTAACGATGATTATGAGGGGTTCTTACATTGACAATCGTGAATTTCTCAAATATGTTTACGTGATAATATTGGGTATCGATCATATAACTTTTTTAACCTAAGGCGGAAACATGAAAATTGAAAAATATTACCATTGAAATTAATGGCAAAATTTTTCACTTTTCACGGTTCCGCCCTAGGGAAGAAATTACATGATTGATACCCTGTTTTATGTGTGTTATGTACAACATAATGTTATAAGTTTACTATTATGCATTTGTGTTTTCTCGATATATGAAAATTTATTGAATTAAACATTAAAATACATATGTGTTATATACTTCTTGATGTATCATCACAATGTTTCCGATGAAAATGCTTAAAGCTATACTTACAGACTCTGCGTTTCTAAACCCTTTTCCGTTTCCTAAAATCTTTCGTTTTGATTGAAAATAGCTTTGTCTAAATTTTTACAACACATATCAACTTTGGTTTCACTCTAAGCAATCTAGCAAAAAATCTTTCAGATCTATCATAAACAAACATAATTCCTATAAAATTTAATATATATATTAAATGGGAAAACTGGCAAATAAAAGGCAAAGCGCGGGTATTGGTGCGTAAACTTATTATTGTTAAATTTTTAATAATTTGTAATAAATGTGTATTAAAAATGTACGATTAATTAAATGCTTAGAACGGGCTAAAATGCGAAATGGTTGTTGTTTTATATAAACCAATGTATGCGCGAAAGTTACACTATATGTATCTATCAAGCTTCAAATAAAATATTTAAACAACAATAACAACGTGAACATGCATTTAAATATGAATGGAAATCATACAAGCGATTCTCATTAATTTTATTGAATTTTTAAATTCTCTTCCGAATCACTAATTTCTTAAAAAACAATAAATGCTAAATAATTCCTATCTTTTCCTATTTACTTTTTTTGTTCTTTATATTTTTTTAAGCTGTAATGTATAAGTATCGAATGGATTCTTACTCTGAGGATTCTTAAAACATGATCCTACTAATTAAGGATAATCAAAGATATATACGATACAATCCCATGAAAATTTCCGAAAACGAAGATCGTTTCCAAAAGCGGTGGCAATTCTGCGACGACATTGATTCTTAGCACAAGGCGGAAGAGAAAGAGAGAGCAAGGGCAAGGTTACGGTAATAGGCGCCAAGAATCGCGGGATGGGGAAATGAACTCATGGCGAACGGCCACGATAGGACATTGCCCTTTACAAAGATCGGTTGCTATAGATGCGCATACTCCTGTATACTTATAGATATATATATCTGCACGTTGTATCGTCGTGCCATAACTATTACGCTTTATCTTTGGCGTCATCTCGCGTTCTTTCTCTTGCTCCTTTTTCTCTTGAATGAAACCGGTTACTGCCACAAGCGACACTTGATACATCGTTGATGAGGATCAGCTTCAGCACTTCCGCGTTTCAATCCTCAAATATTGTTATTTTATTATATTGATATTATCAAATTTCTTTCTTCTCTTTTCGATGATGGTTTTGAATAACTGCAATAAAGACAGGAGAATCTCTTGATTGATGAAATTGTTACAGGTCCCACATATCTTCTTGAGACCATATATATATTTAACTCGCCGTAAAATGAATAGTTCCTGAGCGACTGAAAATAAAAATGATGATTTTGTTAGTTTTATTTTCCAATATCAAGTAAGCTTATAATAATTTTTTAAAAATATATCCTCGACTTTTTACGAGAATTTACTAATAATTGAATTACGAATAAGGATGATGAAGTACGAATCTAATCACATTCGAGCTTCGGAAACTTCCCTCAAATTTTCACGTAAATTGCAAGTGGTTTACGGCATATCAACAGTGCTGTGACGAGACACATGCCGTTAGCAGCAGGTCGCTGTCAGCTCCGCCGAGGTTCTTGAACTTTTCCAGGGATCCGTTTCCAGAACCGACCGAAGGAAGGCTGTTCGAATCGCCCAGGTGGGGATCGGAATCGTCTTCTGGTACGAGACATCGCCCGGTCGTCACATCTCGGGCATCCTCCGTATTGTCCGGACACGTCGTTCTCCAACGTTATTTCGCTCGCTTTCGTTACATCTCCAGAGATACCCGGTCCTATCCAATCGCATTATAAAAGTTGCAAAAAGTGGTCGGCTGGTCTCGAGTTCACGTTCGTTGAGCCGGAGATAACTTGGCGAATTCGGCGATCCAAGAGAGAATACCTTGATTTTCTGGACTTGTCCAGGTTCTCACAATCAAAGTTGAACAGAAAACAATTTTTTAATTTAATAAAATCGGGAGGAGTTTGGAAACAGAAGACCAATGTTATCGATCAACATGCGTATATTCAAGACTGTGTTACTCATCGCTTCCTTTGGAACGAGCGTTCGGTGTTTACCCGTCACCGAGGAGTCGCCCAAAGCTGAAGTCTCCTCCTCGGTGATTCCGCAGGAGACAACGACGGCCGCGTCGATTTCCGATACCACCGATTACTATGATCAGCGACAGAACGGAACCGAGAACTATCGTATCCACGTAGACGGTGTGGTATTCGTATTTGCACCGGTCGAGGCACTACTACTCATGGCTGGCGGGACCGATTCTAATTTACCGATTTCCAACCACAGTGAATCTGCAATTCAGTCTATTGGCGACAGACCCAATGCCGATGGCATCCACAATAAAACCGAATCAGCGATCTCGAAAACAATACATAAGTAAGAGTTTGAGATTTCAGTTACTTTTTATATTCTTTTAAAAATAATGTTAATAGTTATTTTAATTATAATCATTAATGTTAATATCTTATTGTAACTAATATTAAAACATACAGTTTTAATTTTTTAATTATAAAAATAATTTAACTTGTTATGACGATACCACACACTTTTTGATTCCAGATCAGCTTTACGATTGACGAATCTCTTGGCGCCCTTAATACATCGCATACATCACGAACGAGGCATAAACGTGCATTAAAACAGCTCTTCAATACTCGCTTCAATATGCAATAGTGTTCCGTATAAAACATATATTAGAAAAATGTTATTTTTCTCTCTTTCCTCTTGATATTTTACAGGTTTTCTCTCCCCACATTTAACTCTATAATTATTTAAAATACAATTTTTAAAAAATCATGATAAAAGCATGATAAGGATAGGATATCTGCATCTACAGGGATAATAAACGAATACTCGTATAAAATATAATGTATATGATTGACGATGGATTTGATATGAACTATGCATTTATGTAGTACCTATTATCAATAAAGAAATGCACTGATTACCTAGTTTATGAACTCGACATTATTCATATAATGTAAAGCAATAGATTCAGTATCCACATATGTATTTAGATGTGATGTTCAACTTTGATGTTATGTTCTTATTTTGAGATAATGGAATTGCAATAAAATTGTTAATCAATCGTTAATAAATTAAACGGATATATTAACGATGATTATGAGGGGTTCTTACATTGACAATCGTGAATTTCTCAAATATGTTTACGTGATAATATTGGGTATCGATCATATAACTTTTTTAACCTAAGGCGGAAACATGAAAATTGAAAAATATTACCATTGAAATTAATGGCAAAATTTTTCACTTTTCACGGTTCCGCCCTAGGGAAGAAATTACATGATTGATACCCTGTTTTATGTGTGTTATGTACAACATAATGTTATAAGTTTACTATTATGCATTTGTGTTTTCTCGATATATGAAAATTTATTGAATTAAACATTAAAATACATATGTGTTATATACTTCTTGATGTATCATCACAATGTTTCCGATGAAAATGCTTAAAGCTATACTTACAGACTCTGCGTTTCTAAACCCTTTTCCGTTTCCTAAAATCTTTCGTTTTGATTGAAAATAGCTTTGTCTAAATTTTTACAACACATATCAACTTTGGTTTCACTCTAAGCAATCTAGCAAAAAATCTTTCAGATCTATCATAAACAAACATAATTCCTATAAAATTTAATATATATATTAAATGGGAAAACTGGCAAATAAAAGGCAAAGCGCGGGTATTGGTGCGTAAACGCGGTATTGTTAAATTTTTAATAATTTGTAATAAATGTGTATTAAAAATGTACGTTTCGGACCGTTTTTTGGTTTATCTTCAGCATAGATATAAATATATAAACATTGCATTGGTATTTTAAAACTTGACATACACAATATTGGTTGTTGCAGTCAAATTTCAAATTAAAATCGACAATTAATTCAAAATTTGATTGCAACAACAAATATTGTGTATGTCAAGTTTTAAAATACTAATCTTTATATATTTATATCTATGCTGAAGAAGGACCAAAAAACGGTCCGAAACGTACATTTTTAAAATACACATTTATTACAAAAATTTAATAATAATAAGTTCGCGCACCAATACCCGCCCTTTGGCTCTTATTTGCCAGTTTTCTTACTTAATTGTTACTCTGAGCCTATTGCTGTTATTATTGTTAATATATATACATTCTTAGTTAAAAAGGAAGAAATTGCACACACAAATATGATCACTCAAATATTTTTTCTAGTTTTCATCTATTAAGAAGTTTCTCTCTCTTATGCATTTTTATATCTATGATTTGTTACAAAATATTTCGCTATTTATTTTCTTAGCTTCTTTGCAGTAATGACGGTAATATAGAAGTGGTGCATGATTATACGTACATGATTAGTTATTAAAATTCCATCCTTTCATTTTAGATGATAGTATTTTGCATTTGTCATATTCTTCATTAAATACTAATGTTTTTATTATTGTAATAGGAAGATACCCTGTTTATTTCGCCATGAAAATTATAATGTCGTTATTTTACTCACAAGTCTAGATTTTAAATATTTTATAGAGATTTATATTGATTTTTATCGTCCAAGATAAAATTCTACAAGATGAATTGTATTCAGTGGGAACCAGTATTGGGTTAAATATATTTGCGAATAATGATAAACACGATTTACAATTATATATCTTCATAGGAAATATATTAGCATATTATACAATATGTATTTTTTATTATATATGCATTTTAATAACATTTGTGTATTTGGTATACACTGATACATTTATAAATACATCTTTAGAATTATCAATCATTATTCATGTATTTTGCCCAACACTGGTATGAAAAAATATGCAATATAAAATCGGTAAAATAAAATATTCTCTGGTATCCTTTTGTAGACTATATGATAATTACAATTGAACGTAATTTTAACTACAATTATTTATTTTTTGGAATAGTTGTTTTTAAATGTACGATTATATATATTTTAAAAACAGCAGTGAGTTTATGGTCATCCAAATTTAATCCAATTAACTTTTCCTTCTTTTCGATTTTGACATGCAATATTGTATATATATTCACTTCAATCCTCGAAATTAAACGATAAAATAGAAAATATAATAGAAAAACGAATAGATACAAAACATAATAAATGTAATAAATAGAAAGAAAAGATATGATTTAAATACATAAGTCATCACAAAACTTTCTGAAAAACTTGTTCACATCAAAATTGAAAGTTTCAGTAGAGTTTTCGTGATTAACAATATATATAAACCATTCGTCAACATATACTTAATGTAGTCAATACTAATTCAGAACTTGACATTCTTAAGTCTTGAAATTGTTCATATAATGTTATACATTGTTAGGAAAAATATATACGAAACTAAAAAGATATTAAAGATACATTAAATGGAAGTTGCGCTTCGTTCGCATTGAGATCTTCGCAGTCTACTTCACTGGGACCGCTATTAATAGCAAGTACAGCCTCGTCAAATTTTAATTCCTCCTTACCCGCCTACAGAGGAATTATTCCATTTGACATTTTTTCAGAAAAAGTTAATAATTTATGTTAAAGATATGGCAGTAGCTCGTGGAAGAAGCACATTATAAAAATGTATCGGCGACATCGCCGGCTATTACCTCTTTGAGCAGAATCCGACAATTTTCCACGACGCTACGTCGCCGATCTGACACATTGTTCAGAACTTCTTCCGGCGACTGATGCAGATTATCAACAATTTTGCGAAGCTCGTTCAATTCTGTCATGGTAGCTTCTAATTTTATCTCCAAGCTAGATCTGCAAATAATAATATTCCAAATAATTAAAATTAATTTCCATCATTCAATGATTCAATTAATTTAAAATGTTCATGATGTGTATATATATATACATAAACTTACTTCTCTTCTTTCAATTCCTGTATACATGTATCGTTATCAAGCTGTATGATACGTAGTACCTTCAGAAGTTTGGTAACGAGATTATCCACTTCAATCACTTGATCGACCAAATCCACAGATGGACAATAATCCGTCAAAGGTACAGGACCGTCATTAGTCCCGGTGTCAGATTCGCTTATGGAATCACAATCGTCATCACCCTCATCTTCCACCTGCAAATCAATATACAATATTTTAGATCAGTTATTAGTAAATCATACTTTTAAACACCACAAATTCGATTTACTTGCCTTACGACGATGTAAGATGGCCTGAGTGAGATTCATGAGACTAGTACAATCGTCGCCTATCTTCGTCTTCCTCATGTTATGCTCGTCCGTCGTTTCGGGAAAACTTAAAGCTCTGCGAAGAGAATCGCTGCTCGATACCATGTTGTGAGAATATGTATCGGGCAAAGGTACATCTTCCAGAACACTTTCCATCATCAGACATGGCTCGGTTTCAAAATCGAGCAAGTCAGATGACGATTCCATGCTTAATTCTATGCGGAAGACAAAATATCACACTTAACGAATGTAAACTTATAATCCATTTATTGTTACATATCTTACTTATATTTTATTACCTTTGTAAATCTGTTTGGATGAATCTAGGTTGGACTTTTTGTCAATGTTGTTTCTCGTCGCGAATGGATGTGTCGCGGCGTTTCGAATAGCACTAATTACCGCGGAAACAAAGGATCCGCTTTTCGGACTTGGCGTACGTTCCTTTAAATTCTGCTTAGAGTGAACTGGACTAGACTCCATGCTACTATTACTTCTGCTATAGGCTTCGTTATGATATATGACGTCCTGTGAAAAAAGAACAATGATATAATTAAACTTGCTATTAATGATCGCAAAGAGAAAATAATCTCTCGATTATTAACTTTATTGTATAAGGAAAAAGATAGTCATTTTTACAACTTGTTAGAATATTAACCTTTCATCTACTACTACTACTACTATCATGTATACCTACCTCAAGATCCTTTATCGAAATATTATAAGAAGCGATTAATTGATCTATCAATCCTTCTAATCTAGTGCTAAGTCCAGAGAGAGCAACAGCTGCTCCGGACATGGCAGCGCCTTGAGTTAGTAAAAGTTCCCTACTTCTTCGTTCGACAGCATTCAATTTCATACTCATTGATAAATTCTCCTGCCTAAATATTAATAAAAGCAAATAAGCTTTAAAATATTGTTCAAGATGTTTAGCATAAAAATTTTCATGAAATATATACCTTCTTTGTTCGCTAATTCGTACTAAGTGTTTACACTCCTCCGTTTGTCTTTCTAATTCCGCTTGTCGTTGAATTAAAGTCTCCTCTTTCTTCTTGAGCTATGAAAAGCAAATAAGTGTGAGATAAAAACATACGAATGATACCTCGTACTTTAAGAGAAGCGGATGTTTAAAAAATGTACCTCTGATTCGGCGTCCTTAAGTGCATCCGCCAGAGTAGCTTTCTCTTCTTGGAGGAAATCTTGCATCTCAGCTGACTCGGCCTCTAATTCTTGCTGTTGTTGTAGCAAGGCTTTTTGCGCGGCTAAACTTTTCTCTAGATCCTTTAATAAAAATATCGTAAAAGAAATAATTTCTCTCTCTCTCTCTCTCCCTTTCTACATCAATTTTTCATATATTTCATAATTATTGTTGTATGATATTCTTACCCTGCTCAACATACGACAAAGCGATTGCAAATCAGCTATTTCGACTTGCTGATTAGCAACAACTTGGCCCGAGGATTGTATATGACATTCGAGCTCGAGAAAGCTGTCGCTGCCCTCTGAAAAAAAAATTTTGTAGATAACGTAACTTCTATTTTATAAATCTTATTTTTACAGACTTGCGCAGATACGCAAAATATATACACAGTAATCTTACTTTATGAATAAAGTTATCGCTTATTTTTGCATTGTTACGTTGTTTGTTAAATTACCTGCGTGTTCTGATTGTGGAGTGCCCAGCATAGCCAGTATCCGTTGCGCATTTTTATCGAGTTCTTGACGCGCAAATGCGTGATCGGCTCGTTCTTCTTCTAAAAGACGATTTGCTTCGGCTAACTCAAGCTTCAGTCTCTCGTTTTCTTGCCGTCGTTCATTGTTCTCCTCATTCAATCGTCTCAAATTATCCTGCAAGACTTGTACGTCGCTCCACGCATCCTCTGTTTGGCAACTCTTGTGCAATCTTTCGATCACCTCGGGTCCGACGATGGCGCTTGGTTGGCCGGACATCACGTTCTCGATATCCTGCCCGGTCAAACCGGTCTGCGCGCTGGTCTCATGATAGATACGAGTCTTTTCCACAATTCTTTGTCTAGGATATGGCGGCAAGCTTTTGCAGTGAACGGAATTCGAATCCTTACCGCCGATAACTTTCTTTTCGACGGATCTACTGAGACTAGCGTCGCGACTACCGGGTCTACTGTTATTCGTCTTGTCCGTCTTTTCTCCAGCTTTCGAGATCGTCAGTTTATTTCTATTTCTACGTGGCAACGTTGCATATGTGTCCAATGCTTTATTATCCTGACCGGCAGCTTTATTATCAGATATATGCGAAGTGGTATTTTTGGCGCAGAGAGCACGGGGAGTTGACAAGGAAGGTAACTTTTTTCTTGTTTCCTCGGACGGCGTGGACACTGGCGTGCGCACTCCTCGCGTGCTGGAAGTCGCCCTTGATCTCGAGGAATCATTTCTAACGGCCCGTCCACTACGTTGCGCGAGATCCTTGTTGATCTCCGTGGTCAGCGCGGACGGTAGCGAGTCAGGCAACGCTCTCGTCCTCGTTCTCGTGACGGAAGACGAAGTGGGAGTCGATGCCAGATTGGACATGGCGTTGCTGCTGGATCGACAACCGTATGTCGCCGTACCGCGGCTACCAACAGGCGTCTTGGTGACCTCCACAACGAGCGATTCACGGACAGTCAATTTCTCTCTTGATCGCGGACGGTCCCGCTCCCGTTCCTTACTCGTGCTTTGCGTCTTGGTCAGGATATTTCTAGGAGTCGCTGTTCGCGACTTGGATCGCGGTGTCGTCACACCCAGATTCATACAACCCGGAGTTGTATTATTCGTTGGTTTCGCGCGAGCATTCTTTTGCGAAGTCTCGGTAGCGCTTGAAGTTTTTTTCTTAGTCACGCTGGAAGCGGTCGTGGTCCTCTTCACGTTCATACGACTCGTTCGTATGGACACGCTGCCAGCGATGGACGAACTTTCGCTACCACCCTCGCTCGTACCTTCCCCACCGGTGGCGCCTAGCCGAACGTCATCTGGCAACGTGGATCCGCATGGATCCTCGTACACCGAGCAACAACTTACAAGACTAGAATCGCAAGAGGCCTCGTCCAAACCACCGCAACTACTCGCGTAGTCGATACTATTCCTACTGCGTACCTGCAAGAAAAATTGGTCCAGATAAAAAACCGCTAGTGAATATCATTAATCATTACTATATAAAAATATTTTCAATTTTAAGTATGTATGTGCGTGGAAAAATTTGAAAATATTTTTTTTATAAACAAGAGAGATTTCACAAGAACTCACTCTTGGAACTTCCGTCGTGCAACCCTCGACTCCGCTGTCGCTGCCGTCCTTGCTGTCCTTATTCTCGGCCAGCGACTTCTCATTCGTTTTCTGTGACTCGGTAATATGGATCACCGTGATGTTGCATTCGCTGTTCATAGTGAGATCTGGATCTTCGTCTCCGTTGAGTGTCTGCGCCTCATTGATAGGCGACGCGAGATCCTCCGGTACGCCCGAGTCCTGCCGCGCCACGTTCTGCATCGTCGAGGATACCTTCAGACAATTTTCGGACTCGAGGCACGGGGTCTCCATTGTCACGATATCGAGCGAATCACTCATTTCGATCTTGTCATCTTGCCACTGAAAAATACGATTGAGTGTAGAAGGGAAAAATATATAGCAACTCTAACAATAAGCATAATTGTGCAATAAGGAACTAATCTTTCTATTTTTTGTATTGCAATACTGCTTTTTTTCGAAAATAAATATATATATATCTTCTTGTATAAAAAGTATTAATTTTACTCTTTACTATTTTACAATTGAATATAGAATCAAATACAGATATATAGATACAGTTGAGATAGTAGCTGGCTAGATATATTTTCAGCTCTCATAAATCTAACTCGCTCGTCTTCTGTTTGGCATTCCAGCCAGGGGGTTCGACCTCGTGTAAGTTAACGTGGAACGAAACTTTTTGCACTATATTACAAACACGTTGATTCAATTCTGAAAAGATGATCATCGCAAGCTCAGTATTTTAATTATTTTACATACACACAAAAGCTTTTTTTAAAAAGTCATAGTTGAGAAGAATCATATATCTGGAATCAACAATTTACGTAATGGACCAATGATGTAGACAGGAGCAATTAGTTCGCACGATGCCAAGTCGATAAAGCTATTTCATTCCGGAATCAAATTATGGCATCCCAATCACGATCATATTGAATTAGTCGAATGACACGCCTTGCAAAGGAAGTTATTTCGGATGAATCCCGGACAAATACAGAGGTCCTATACACGTTTTTCCAATTTAAATGGAAACCAGGAAAATCTCACTAACTAATGTTTTAGCAGGCAATGACAAATGCTCAATCGAAGATTTGATCGTTCTTGTATCTATATATTGTACATTATTCTATATTGTATTTGTATTCTTAATGATTTAATTTTTAATAAAAAGATTATTTTTTACTAATTTTACTTGAAAAATGCGTGGAAATTTTAATTTAGAAATAATATATGTAACAAATAAAATTTAATAAATTATGGATTAGCATTCCATCTGTCATTATCTTTACGAAAGGTCAGTTAATGCTTTAATTCGTTAAACTCGACGATTCAGGGCTTTCTCTTATCAGTTTATCTCTCTCTTGATATTTCCGACGCACCTATATAAAAGACTGATAAAAAACATGCGATCACGCAAACAGGAATATGGAGGTGATTCCCCTCGGGTGCGCGTTTCTATGTACATATGCGATACGGTTGATATCTCGATATTCGGTTACCGATATACGGTTGATATCTCGATTTTCAAATATATTTAACTATACGATTTTATTATACAAATGAGCCCCGAACTCTCATTGTCACCCGATTATTCGATTCCTTGTAAATCGCGACTCACTATATAATTGGAAAGTAATTTCGTGACTCAATATATATATATATATATAACATAACTTGACAGCATCT